TGCAGGGTAAGGCTTTGCCAGGTCACCACCAAGACATGTTTGGCTCTCATTTGTGCTGCCAAGTGTTATTCTTGACTTCATGCTTCCTTCTCAAATATTGGACTAGATGACTTTTGAAGGTCCCTTCCAATACAAACTATTCCATGATTCTATGATGTTGCAGGGGATATGACACACACTGGTGCCTCCTGCTTGGGCAACCTGCACTGACCTTGTTCTAGCCGCAGCAGATTTGCCTCCAGCCACATGTGCACTTTCCAGCACCATCCCCACTTTGCCTTGGTGGTGGTTCTTTCCAGCAACCAGGCTGCCTGGTGTGCAGGGGCTACCGGAAGCTGTCAAATATGAGGGAGGATGTTTATTGCAGTGATCTTCTTCCTCTCCCATTTTACCAGGTTACATCCTATTGCATAATCAAATGCTGTGTGTTTGTTATCCCCAAAGGGCTTTTGTCTCAGTCAATGAGCATCAAAGGTGATGGTTATCGGCACAGACAGCTGGTAGTTGGTTTTGGTTTGTTTTTTTTTTTTTTAATTTTTATTTTTATCATTCAGTATGGCTCTGATTTTTGTATTAGCAATTGGATTATTCAGATTATTTCCATTTAGTAACTTTCTTACTGTTCTGTGTTCTTAATGGAGTACTATTTGGATATCCTTTGAACCTGAAATTTATTCCTGTACTTCTGCACATCAGGAAGGATGCAGTCTTGCTTCTCTTTTATGAAGAGCTATTGTAATATAGAAAGATTAAAAAAAAATCTTTTCCAACACAGAAAATGGACTTTTGGAAGTATGCATCAAATACCTATTTGTGTACTCAAAGCTGTAGACAAAACATAGGCCCAGATGACAGGCTCCTTTTCTCTTCTGCTGTCAGTGCAATTCATTTAACTGCCTGTCTTAATCTGAATGTGGGTACATGAAGTTTTGTGAGAGTCTTTCAGGCACTTGGACGCTTCTTGTACGATCTGTGTATACATGTATTCAGTAGTACCTTCACTCTGTTCTTCTGGAGAAGATCCTGTTTTCAGCTTTTAGGCTGCTTCATCTGGAATCACCTAATTCATGAGGAGGATCTTGGAGGCTTGGTTTGGGTTTTGGTGGTTTGTATTTTTTTTATGGTGTTTCATTTTGTTTGTTGGTTGGTTGTTTCTTTTTTTTCTCTTTTTTTTTTGTTGATTTTTTTTTTTCCAATTGCACAGTATTGTAGCTTTCCATATTCATAAATCATCAACACATGAAGGGATTAGGGGCCAGCTACTGTGGAGTCTTTGCTGCAGGCAGGAATTGGGCACTTCAGACTACACACTAGATAAAGACCCATTTGGCCCCGCAGGCGCGTTCACTTTGATCTGCAGAGTTCGCAGTGTTTGCAAAAATCCTTTGTGTTTGTGGATGTACTGAGGTGGTTCAGACTCCAAGCCTTTAGCAGCCTGAGAGGTAGGCAGAGGGACGCACAGCATTGTGCGAGAGCCTGGCTCGCCAGGCTGGCGCATCTCCAGGACAGTTGAAAACACAGACCTGGTAGCATTACCTACATTTTTCATTGTTGCTTGAGGTGAGAGCATTCACTAGGGAAGCAGAAGAACAAGGTTCAGCTTTACCCTAGGGAAGGGATTTTGTCTTCATCTCTCTCTCCTGAGGAAAATGCCGAACCATAGGCCATGCTTTGTTCTTTGCGTTGTTCTTATCCTGTCAGTCTGTGTAGCAAAAATGAAGGGTGAATAGAATGAATAGGGGTGAAGAGAGAGCCTGCAAGGCAGTGCAAGCCTGAGTGGTTCACACTGATAAAATCACTGTCTTGAGGGGTGTGGAGGAGGATTTCTTGTTTTCTGGTCTCTGCTGCAAGAAATACTTTTACATGAGTCATAAGATAAAAAGGCATAATAGCACTGAGAACAGGGACTGGACTGCAGCAGTTGTCCCACTCCCTCAAACTACACACTCAAGTTATTCATGTTACTATTAGAAATGTCAAATTATGTATTTCAATGTGCTGACACCCTAAAGAATTTTCAGCTTGGCAAATATGCCAGGCGGGGAAATGTGGGACAGAAGGGTTTTCTTGGCATAAATTAAAGAATGATTGATTACTATAACTTCCCCTTTTCCCCAAACCAGAGGCGGCTGTTTTCAAATGTGGAAATCGAACCAAAGTAATCCTGGGTTAACATGATTGTTCAAACTGCGTAGCCCAAGTGAAAGGGTGTCTCAGTGACAGGGATGGTAGTAATCCACCTGCACGGCCAAGTTGCACATGTGAGTATTAATAACTGCAGTGATTATGGTATAATACTGGTATGTCGATAATTATGAATAATATTGATAATGAGAAATAATCAAGTAAGAGCTGATGAGATTTTTATACACTTGTAAATACATGAATTGCATTGCCATTAAGAACCCACTTTCTAAGTGTACTAATCAATAGCTAATCAAAACAGCTGGGAAATGTTTGGAAATGAATATGTAGGATGGCTAATGGCGTATTTTAAATGGTGGCTTAAGAGCTTTAAGCTTTCTGCAGAGTTACTGTACTCAGGCACGTCATTTTTTCTGGAGTGCTTTAATGATGCCTCAGGCCTGTAAATACAGAAATGGATAATGAACACTAGCAAGGTTTCTTTGGATGGGTTTCTTGCATCTAGGGTAAAAGAGGGCTAACCTCTATCTTAGATCCTCCTGGAACAAGTCAGCAAATGCTGGCAGCATCCTTTGGAAATGGTAAAATTGCCTGGCCTACTGCCTTCTGCCAGATAATGCTACTTAGTTTTAGTGTGTCATACATGAAACCAACCCCAACAATTGAAATCTTACAGTAATATCCAAGCCTGAGCAAGAGGGACGGAAGACGCCTATGTGACAGAATTTCTATGCCAATGGGAGAAAGATCTTAATAAATATTGTTCTACCTCATGATAAGACACCATTTGGATACTAGCGATAGTCAAGAGATCTCATTTGTGTTGACACTAATCCATTCAGTACAAAACACATTGTAAAAGGCCCCTGGTAGAGTTCATAGAATAACCAGGTCCTATTAACAAGCCTATGCTGCCTGCCTGCTGTGTGCCTTCACACAAAGTGGAGTGGCAAATATGCTCTTGCTGTTACTGAACCAGGAGTACAGGATGGTACCTACAAAGGCATCCATCCTCTTTGTAACCTGCAAATCCAGATATTCTACTTTACAGTTCTGCAGTCCCATGGTGTTGCCATATATCCACAAAGGACTGTAGCCATATGCCTTACAGAAGGGAGGTCTGTCATGGTCCAGTCAAGGCTTTCTCTGTGTTGGCTGTTTCTAGTTGTCTCTCGGCAGGTATGTATCCTGTGGTTCCTGGCTCCTTGCTCTCCTGCTTATCTGGTTCTCCCCCTCTTATATTTTCCTCAGCTCTGCTTCTATTCTAGCTCATTTTTACTAGCCCTTTGCCTTCTCCAGTCTAACCTTACTATGCATGTTAAGTGAATTATTTTCAGCTGGCACCCGTAGGGGGGCACTCTTAGAAGTGGCCTCATTGCTCTGCCTTCCCTCTTGCCCTTTCCACATCTTTCTATGTTGATCCTGCAGATCAACAGCATTGCTACAGTGCAAGCATTCTCCCCAGTTATCTGTGAATTAGTGAAAACAGATTAAAAGCTAGCCTGCAGCTATGGCTATCAAGGCTGTACAGACAGGTTTCTGTCACACCTGAAGTTACTTCTGAGAACCATATCTGATGGGGATGCCTGTCACTTCTCTTTCTTTGGAGGGAAACCAGAGCACTTTCTGCAGTGAGAAGGCTCAGTCCAGCAGAGTTACCAAGGTAGATTTTGTGCTACACATAGGAGCTTTCAAAACTGGGCATTAGTTTTGGCTAGGCAAGCCTGGCTTCATCCATCTGTGACAAGATTTTGTACTAAACGATTTAATATATTTCTGCAGCTACAGCATGCACTTTTATCTGAAAGCAAACTTTTTACTTATTTGCTTTTAATTATTTATGGTAATGAAATAGCACCCATATCTTAAAATTTTCCACAAAAAATAATACTCTTGTAGTTCAGATCTGTGGCCAAGAAAGAAAACACAGTTCCCCACTGTTGCTTATAATGTTTATTTGTTTTTAACTTCAAAACACAGGTGATTTTCTTAAAACAAATAAAGTAATGGGGGAAATGAAAGTGGTCCCTTTGTAACTTTCCCAAGAGACACATCTGGAAAAGCATGCTTTTGCAAAAAAAACCCCATGTTTTAGCACACTCAGAGAGGGAGATTCCAGGAAGTCATAAATAGCAGTGAGGTTAGCAACTAATGTTGTTGGTTTGTTTGTTGTTTTTCTTTTTGTGGGTTTTTTTTCCCTTCCTTTTTCCCTTGTTTAGCTTGCAAACAGCACTAAATGAATCCACAATTTCCACAGCTAAAGAACAGACATTTTTACAGAAGTCTATTGAGTGTGTTAATTTCCAAAATGGGGAATTATGAAGATACACCACCTCCCCTTGATTCTGTAAAATAAACTTGATGGAATAATTGGCTATTATAACATCTTGCTACAGATATAAGCCTACATCTTAGCTATTTAAATCAGTATGGTTAATTGTCACTTAGTTACATTTACCTAAAAGTCATTTTTTACCCACAGGCAGGTACAAAATCTTTCTTTAGGAGTAGCAGTGAAGTGCGGGATTATATTTTGTAAATAGCTCTGGTGCCATACTTCAGCAGTACTCTTAAAAACTTTGTGTGATTTTCAGTTTCATTGCTTGTACAACATCTCTTGCTCCACCTTAACAGTCTGGTAAAAAAAGCAACCACTTTGGAGGCAGATCAGTAAAATTAAAGGCCAGCTTTTCTGACTCCAAATGCTACAGCCAGGCCATGCTCACTGGGAAGGCCAGGGAAGATGGAAATAATACTGCAGACCAACAAGATAGTTATTTTCATACTTAGGTAGCAATTTCAGTTATTTTTGCTCGCTTATGCCTGATTTCTGCAAGTCAGTTTTCCTTTTTTCCTTTTCCTGCACACTGGAAACAAATAAATGTTTCTGGCACTAAGTAAGCTGCAGCACATTGCAATGTGCTTCATGGCATTTTGTACCTACATACAAGAAAATATCATTTTACTGCCTGATTTGCTTGAGTTGTATAGTCATCAGTGCTATCGCAAGGAACAGACAGACTGGGAATTAGGAAATCATTCTAGCACGGGTCTGAGGAGGGTCTTCCTGAACATAAAGTGGATGCGTGTGTGAAGTGGCTGCAAAACTTACAGTCTATCACATTCAATATCAGGGTTATTAGATGGTGTATCGAAAATACCAATATCCACCTCCCTGTTTGCTGGAGGTGGGGTGTTGGTTGGACTTCCCACCCCAGAATCAGGGCTTGGTGCCGGGTGCATTTCTCCTGCATACTTCTCTTCTTTCTGGGAGGGCTCTTGTTGTTTCTGCTTGAGGTTTTTGAAACGTTTGAGCTTCACAGGGTCCTTGACTTCCTTGGCACAATGGAACAAGATGAAAATGTCCCTCCGAAATTTGGAGCTCATTCCAAAGTAGATAATGGGATTGTAGAAACTGGCAGACTTAGCAAACAAACTGGCAAGGATGCTGGTAAGGTTGGGCACAGGGTAACCATAGGCAGACCATATAGAGATGACAGCATATGGTGACCATGCAATAATGAAGGCTGTGCAAATCACAATAGAAACCTAAAAAACAGAAGAAAAGCAGTCTTAAATCTGTTCTGGAAGACTACATCAGGGAGGCGATACACTGGGAATAATAGCTTGGAGGCTTGGCTGGAAGGGAAATGTTCAGATCGCCCTGAATGCACGGCTCGCAGCAGAATACAGGCAAGCAAAAGGTTGGATTTGATGGAGCCAGGCAGACATAGAAGCTGTATATAAAATTTTGGCATGGTGATGTGCTTAAGCAATGTGTCATCTAATAAAATGAAAATAATTACAGTCCCCTCCTTGTTTATATGAATTCAGAAGGTTTTGGGTAGACTAATGTCAATGAAAAGTAAATTGAAAGCTCCACTGTAACTTCTGTGTGTGCTCGGAAGTATTGCAGCTTCTGACAGAAAAGAACATACGCCGAACCAAATTTTTGTTTTGGTCTGTATAACTCACTCCAATTATATTTAGATTATTTTTCACATGATGTAGCACCAATATGAGCCAAGTGACAGGGTAGTTTTCAACAAACCTCATATTCTTCACTGAGTTCAGATTCTGTTGCTAGAGACTATAGAGAAATGCAATGCAGCTGTTTTGGTTTTTTGCCCTTTCCTGTTCCGAGAGCAATTTTTGGAAAGATAGATTTCACTGAAAAAAATCCCACCCTACATGAAACCCAAACTCACCCTGGTGACGTCCCGCTCTACTCTCCTCTGTCTGTCTGTAGGATCAGCCAGTCCTGTTAATGCATGGCTTAGCTTGACAGTATTTATAATTGACACATATGAGAAGACCATGACAGTGACAGGTAGGAAAAAACAGCAGATAAAAATGGAGACGATGTAGGACTTGTAGATCGTAGAGAAGTTGGCTTTTGCCCAGTCTATCTCACATGTGCCATACATTCGATCTGGAAAGAAAAAAATAAGTTGGCTAGCATTTTCAGAACTTTCATCTGCTTTTAAGTGATTAATTTATCAGTTCAAATGCTGTATTTTTTGTCTTTTAAGCACTAAAGAATGAACTGAACTTCATGATTTAATGGGCTGTGACATAATTTCCTACATAAACAATTTTTCAAGACCAGCAAGACTGTAAGTAGTTTTAATGCCTGTTATTGTTCTGTCCAGTTTAGTATTCCAGTGTAAATACATAATGTACAAACTGTTTCCGGATGGGAAATTGTGACATAACTAGAAAACAAAAAAGGTAATAATTTAGTAGGTTTGATATACTTGTGTGTTATCTACTCTTACTTGTCATAATCTTCTACATAGTAACTTCCTAACATAAGCACCGTAATAGCATAACAAGCACTTGGGAAGGCACAATAAGCCAAATGTAAAAAGTCACTACTTACATAGCAATGCAGGAAACCAAAATATTGAAGGGCTTTTAATAGAAACAAAAAAGCGATGAAATCTATGAGAGCCATGAAAGCAAGTTGCTACAGTTAATGATAAAGCTTACTGGAAAATGAAACATTACGAATACTTAGAAAGATATGAGACCTTTTAGCAAATGGGAAGCGTACAGTTCTGCAACTACAAAGGAACTGCAGGCTTTTAGCAAAGAAATTGGGCATACTGGAGGATCTGTAGCTAGTGGGATTTACAAAAGACACTAGCTGATCAGGTAGGTCAGGGAAAGGAAGTGGGAGTAAGGTGCAGTCTCTGCTTAAATACTTTCATGGCTTCTTTAGATCCTCTAATGTGTTTGCAGATGTCTCCTGATAGAAAACTTTGGTTCAATAGCATTAGAGGTTTTCTATAGATTGTGAATTGTTAATTTTTCAAGTGGAAAAAACTGTTTGGTGTTTTTTTTCAGACAGCTATCGCAGCAAATGGAATTACAAATAAATGAAGCATGAACCAAAATTATGTAAGTCGAGTATTAACAAGTCCTGGAGATATGAGAAATCACTGACACCCAGGGATAATTCTGAAGAAAAGAAAACCCCACCACCTTATAGAATCCCTTAATTCCTCACAGGTGATAGGTTTAGACAGGATGAATTAAAGCAGCAAAAGATTAAAATCTTTTTTATGATTCTCATCAAAAAGAGCTTGGTATTTTTATCGCCAAAAGCTGTAGGTGCTGCTGGCTGGATGTGCTCAGTAACAGAAATAGATTTTCGTCTCCTTTGCTTTTTTTTTCATCAGTAGACCTCAATATAAAAAAAGATAACTGTAAAATCTGGCTTAATTCCAGGTTTCTGGTTTCCAAAGCTTTTTGACTGAAAACAGCCTCCAGAGGACATGAAGAGAAAATCCTGCAGATTTTCCATGAGCCAGAATTTGCAGCTCTGTTTTCTCCCTCTGCAGGGATACTGGCAAATGGCATTTCCAAAAATCAGTGAGATCCTTGTCTGCCTGCACCCGCTGCCTGCTGCTGGACTTACCATTGCTCAGCACCCACATGCTCTCTGTGCAATGAGTTTAGCATCAGCCCAGGCACCTGAAACTGCTATGATTGGTAGGGAAAAATGTTGCTAGAATTAGTCTTGAAGACCACTGTCAAGGAATTGAACACAAAGTACGAACAGGATCCATGGGAGTAGTTAGATACCCTGATAAGGCAATGATGCCCAAGAAGTCCTTGGCTGTAGTGTAAAACAAAAAGGGCATATTAGAAATCCTGAAATGCTTCAACAAATGAAGAGCTATGAGATTAATGTAAAAAGAAAACACAGATTGATAGAAGATGCGCAAAAAATGTTCTGTCCAACACCCCAAAATTTGACATATCCATAATGCAAAAGCATATATGTAACATAAATAACATAATAAATATCTAATAAACTGATTTGGTTTCAAACAAAACATCCATTGAGCCTAATATCCTGATAACATTTTAGTTTGGTTAGGATTAATGATTTAGACAATTAATTATAGAAATACATGCTTTTCTCACACCCATACTTCAAGAGTCTTGAGATGCCTCAAACCTTCATGTTTGATAAGAGGGTGTATTCACATAGCTGCTTTAATAAGTCTTTGCAGATTTCATGACTTCTCAAAGGATGCAGGTGCCTGCAGGATCCAAGCATGTAACTACTGAACAGTTGGAGAATTTCATTCACAAGATTTAAGTTGTTAGGACTCCTGTATCACTACCATTTGTTCCTAGATATTTGTTTTCTTGAAGTTTTTGAGCCTTAATGTGAAGCAATTTCTCCAACTTTTTCTTGTGAAGAAATTTTCTGGTGTGGCAATATGTCTTAGCCATTGAATTACTGCAGTGGTCACTATTAAAAATTTTTCCTTCCCCCCACCTTCTTTATTGCTATGGCCTTATCTTGCACCCTAATCATTTCTTGGACTGACAGACTTTCTGACGTATTTTTCTTCTGCTGTTTTGTTATGATTTTTGTATTTTCAACAAGTAGTTCCAACAGACCTTTCTGACTTGTCTTACTACAGTTTCAAGTTTAACTTGCTGGAACCTGTGTTCTTTTCTAGTTTCCTGATCTTGACAGTTTTTGAAGGATGTCTTGTGATAGTTTCCTTTATCTCATTGCTTTACCATGCCAAATATTTCTGGCCTCTCTTTTTTTTTTTTTTCCCCCAGGTAATATGCGCTTGCTCCAAGTATTTCCTGTAATATCTTTAAAGAAAAAAATAAATCTCTTTATAGCTGATACCAAAGCAGGCAACACTGTGCACACATGTCGTGCATGATGAATGATTCTCTCAGTTCCACTGACAGTTGGTCTGGTTTATCACAAACAGCAAGAAAGGTAAGAATCTTTGTGCAGTTAAATGGACAGGTGCTGAATAGTTACAACTGAAAGATACCTGTTACCTGTGTAACTGCCCCAGCCAAGTAATGGAGCTCCTGACCAGAAGAAAGCTGCTACCCAAATGAGAACCAGAGACACCGTCATGCTGCTGTTGCTGATGCAGTGACCTGCAATGGCATGATTTTGTTAGAAAATAGTATTTAGAAAGGCAAATATATCTCAGAAATCTAAATGCTATCCTATACCAACAGCTAATAAGGGAAATCCAGCCATTTAAAAATAAGAAAAAAAATTAAAATAATACATATTCATAAGAAAGGCTTAAACTTGAAGGTATCTGTCAGGCTAGATCTCAAGCCCCTTTGTGAACGCTGGAAGTGAATGGCTTTAAAGCAGGAGACAATATGCTTTTTGTGCAGTGCAGAATTAGCAAATTCTACATCAGACTTATGTTTTGCCATTTTGTAAAAAGCAGAAAACACTTGTATGTTAAATTTTACATAGAAACAAACAAGGTAGGTCTAAATTCAGAGGATTTTCTTTTGCCTGTTGAAAAGATAAAATATGATGCTCAGACTAGATGCTCAGACCACGTTAGCCACTTGTGCTGGTTTTGCCTGGGGTGGAATTAATTCTCTTCTTAGTGGCTAGCATGAGTCTATGTTTGCGATTTGTGCTAGAAACAGCGCTGATAACTAAGAGATCTTTTGTTGAGCAGTGCTTACACAGACTTGAGGCCTTTTCTGTTCCTCACCCCACTCCACCAGTGAGTGAGTAATCTGGGGGTGCACAAGAATTTGGGAGGGAACACAGCCGGGACAGCTAACCCGAACGCAAAGGGGATATTCCATACCACAGAACATCATGCTCAGCATATGAACTGGGGGAGTTGGCCGGTAGCCACCGATCATTGCTCAGGAATGGGCTGGGCATTGGTCAGTGTGTGGTTGAGCAATTGTATGGTGCATCACTTGTGTTTCTTGTTGTTTATTGCTCTCTCTCTCTCTTTCCTATTATTATTATTAAACTGTTCAATCTCAACCCATGAGTTTTGCCTTCTTTCGATTCTCCTCATCCTACCGGAGGAGAGGTGGGTGTTGTGAGCAAATGGCTGCATGATACTGAGTTGCTGGCTGAGATTAAGCTAGAATATCATTTGGTACACAATATTTAACCTGTCCTACTCTTGTCATACATAGTGGTCATTTCATTGGTTATGTGTGAAATACTTATGCATTGTAGAATCATAGAATGGTTATGGATGGAAAGGGCCTCAAGATCATCTAGTTCCAACCCCCTTCACATGGGCAGGGATGCCTCACACTACATATCGCCCAAGGCTCTGTCCAACTTGGCCTTAAACACTGCCAAGGATGAAGCATTTACCACTTCGTTCCTCAACATTTCTGTAAAGTTATACTGGTTAGTGACATGTGGGGATGGAAGGTTGCTACAAAAGCTGGAGGCAAGATGTACAGACTGAAAGTTCCCAGCACCATTTGAAGCAGTCCATGATGCCTACTGTGCACAAATCTTGGTAAAACACCCTGAAGACTGAAAATGTTTGCATGTGTAGCACCCCCCTGAACCAAGGATCTTATCAATAAGTGGAAACTTCTTCCCCAAAAAAATCATCTCATTGAAGATGAAATTAATTGCTTACAGTAAGATCCAGACAATGATCACTTAGAAGTTAGGTTGCATTTTGAAGACTACAGAGGGTCAGCAGGATGTGTGGTTTCCTTTAGCACAAGGGTGGATTTAGCCGATGGTGACCAAAGTGTAGTAATAATTTGGCTCTTACTGGGGTTGATTCTGAAGGATTCAATGCAAACAAACATATTTGTAATGTAAATGACTGTATTATGTTCTGATTTCCAATGCAGGCAATTTGTATTTGCTATATCCTGTAAGTGAAAGAAACACAGATTTACACAAGGCACAAAGCAGAACTGGGCCTGCCAGTTACTCCTGGCAGGTTATTCCTTACTTTTCTCAGGATGGCAGCCCTTGATGTAGCGAGTCACACTGATTACTGTAAGGGTATTAATGCTAGCAAGGCCAAACAGAAGGGTCAGGAAGCCATCAATCTGAAAAACAAAGCAGAGCAGGATGTTCTCTTACTGCAGAGAGAGGAAAATGAAAAGAACTACAGGGATTGCTCCTGTCATTTTCATGTTAATGCCCTTGAAAGTTTTTTCAGAAACCCAGCTAGCAGGAAAATATGAAATGTCAGGTGCTGTTATCATCTATAGGATTAGTGAGCAAGTGAATGTTCAAAAATTATATAAGTGCTCTGTCATGTACATAAAATAAACAAGCAAATGCACCCTTACATCTATATGCTTCCCTGAAATGACTTGCCAAGTGAAGGAGAAAAAGGTTGAACTGAAAGCAAGAAAAGCCCTGAACAGGCAAAAAGGTACTGGATGCAGCTGTCCCATGTAGGCAAAACAAACATGCAAGCTGAACTCATGAAACCTAAGCCACAGAGGAAAGAACAGAGGAGGTAATGGGCTTGGCTGAGCGAAAGAAGCTTTTTAAATAACTAAATAAAACCATCCAAAGCTGAATCATCCCAATAGATTGAGTCTCAATGTTGGTGCTACTGCTTGGCTCCTATATGTTAAGCCCGATCTCCATCGCTTCTGACTGACAGAGGCAGAGCTGTACAGCTACGTAGGCTCCCACTGACATCAGTATCTCAGTGATAGATGCACAGGATAGTTACAACTCTGCTAGCCTCACTTATGGGTATAGGAAGGAAATTGCTGCTGACTCTAGTGGAGACGGTGTAGCCATCTGCTAAGGAGCACTGTACGACTGGGAAATGATCCAGGCAAAACGCTGAAGGCAGTCCTTTATTTCTTTTGAAAGCTTGCGATGTGATACATCAAACCAGCCAGAGCAGCGGAGCACTTGGAGGTGCCAGTTTTACACCGAGGGAAGCAGGAATATTAAGCAAGCATCTCTGGACTGTAACTTGGCATTCAAGCAGTAAAATTATCAGCAAAATGGCACATCATTATTCTACAGGAACAACCTCTGTGTTTGTGTGAATGGGCACAACTCCCACAGAATTCAGTTTATCCCAGCACTGAATCTGGGGCTTTAATCCAGGCTTAAAGCTGAGACCATGGCAGATTGTATAAATTAAATTGGGTGAAGGGTTAGGAATGGGTCGCTTCGTCATTTCTTTCACTGGTGGCTGTTTTTTCACTACCAATGCTCTTACCTTGACTCTATACACTTCTTAATGTCAACTTTTACCAACTGACCACATTTTAAATTTGTGCCAAAAAAAGTGCTACTACAGCAATCTACATCCACCCGTGCTCCACTTATTTGCAGTCAGCTGATGCTTTGGGTGTAAATGCAAACATTTTTACACCAGAAAAAACGACTTCCTTGGATGTCTCAGCTACTTGCTAGAAGCTGCACTTGGCTAAATTTGGCCTGATGTGTGCTGTGGAGATGGATTGGTGAAATACCTGCATTTCATTAGCCTTATTGATGCAAACAGCTGCCACTTTTCCATTTGCTCCAACAACAATGTTTCATAGATGAGGAAAACAGTGAGGCCAAGGAGAAGCCAGGCTGCATAAGCTTAAGCAATTCCATTAGTTAGATGAGATTAGAAAGGAAGCAGTATTTCAGCAATTATGCAAATGAACAGTTTGAAATTAAGTCTAAAGAGCTATGAGGCTGAACACTGAAGAAGTAGGACAAGCTTCTCAGTGTGTCTCATAGCCCTCCTATAAACCCCACATTTTTTCTCATACTCAGTGGTGTATCACCTGCAGATGTGACCAGTATTTTTCCAGCCCCCTTCCCTGATGTCAGACCAAAGAGAAACAATTATATTGTGATCAGTTCAAAGAGCCCTTGAGCACACTTACAAGGGAGGAAAGTGCGTCTAAAAGTACACTCTTGCCCTTTACCATTTGAGATGAAACTCTGCCACCATAAGAAAAACAAGCCAAAATGTTTTCTTTTGAGTGGTACCTTGCTAAAAAAAAAAAAAAGAAAAAGAAGAAAAAGAAGCAGTTTTACCTAAGTCAACACCAAGCCATTGTCAGTGCCACGTCTTGTTTATGTAGTATTTCATAACAGCATTTCAGCAGACCAACATAGTGTTTCTGCTTCTACTAGTGTGGGGCTCTCATCAGAGATTGACCAGGGCCATATGGTTAGCAAGTGGATGAAGTGGCAGCAGTCTGCTGGGGACAGCTTTGCTACCTGTCCCTGTGCTAAGCACAGGCTCAGTGGTTTAGGGACAGCTGATGGGGTGAAATGAAAAGGAGGAGAGGGAAATCTGGGGATGACAAGAGTGTTAGTATGAAATAAATAAAGGAAGTAAATGAGGTGTCTCCCAGGCTGTAGAACAGCCCACACAGAGGCCATGGCATCTGAAACATTGAAACATGAGAACGTATCCAACAGGGTTAGTGCTGCTTTGGGAGCAGGATCCTCAAACCGGTATCATCACTGCCAGACTCCTATCAGCGATGGGTTAGCTCTTGAGCCTACTTATGCATGTGCCATTTCCCAGCAAGTCTATCAATTCTGCAGTACATTTATACTGGTCTCACTTAGACATATGTCTTCAGAAAAAAATGAGGGATCTTACTCTAGCTGTAGCCAACCTACTTCGAGCATACACCTACTGGATACAGAAGCAAGATCTCTGCTGCTTTTTCTGCTCCTGAACAGACAACACTCACTGTAGCTAGCAACCAAAGTGACTATTTGGAACCCAAAGTAGTTAGCAACAGAAAAAAATTGCTTTAGCATAGTTCTGACTTCTATAGGCATAGATATTAATATATGTAGGTAACAAAAATGTATTCTCAGTCTTCTGCATCTTTAAAGATATTGGAATGATAGCCAAGGAAATCCTAGAATAGTAGATAACATTTAATTACTTTGGAAGATTGATTCATTTCCTCTTCCTGATTCTGGTTTTCCTTTTCTTTTATCCTACCCTCCTTCCCCCCTCCATCCAGCTCTTTCCTTCCACAGGCATAATATTTCCTCCATTTTTGTGTAATGCAATTTTGGCCTTCCTATTGTTAATTACAATCAACAGTGTTAATTGGCAATAGTGAATTCCGTCATAAACACAAAATTGGTTCTGTGGTAATTTTGATCCACCAGCTTTTCTTTTTATACATTAAGAAACAGGAGTAGATTAGCAGTTTTAAAAGCTTTTCTGTCAGCACTATGCCAGTATTGCTCCCTTGGCTATATAGATACTCACAGAACTCACTCATTATCTTTATGTTGCCTGGAAGCTAAGATACAACTGAAGAAAAGATTTTTTATTCTGCTTCGTACTTGAGCCCGATTTTAAATCTTGCTAATGTTCTTGGTGTACTATTTACGACCCACAATACGTAAAGTTTCCACTGCATGCAAATTCATTTCTTAAGCTTCGCTTCAACACAGGGAGAGTCAGGAATCCCCAGTGCACCATCAAATTTTTAGCTATGAGCTTGGGTGTTCCGCATTTTTACTACAGTTAATACTTATGTATCCCTACTGACTACATAAGAGTTGTCTTCATTTAAAGCAGACAGAGTAAAATATAACCTATTGTTCTTATTATTGGATTGATCAAGGTTTAATGGCACAAAAGCACGTTGCCAAAATAGCTACGACATTTCAATTCAGGTTGAAGCACTGATCTCACCAGCCAGAAAGGATGCATCGCTCCCTCCTCTGGCCAATTGGTGAATCTGTTACAATTTCCTGAAGTCCTTTTGTTTCCCTTCAGAACCACAACGTCCTGTTTTTCTCTTCTATAAAATAAGTGATAATGTGTATGTAAAGAAAAAGCGAAACTCTAAACAGGGATTATTTAAACTCATCACAATAAATTCTCTCAGAATATTTCTTTGAATACAGATCAGATTATTCCAAGATCATAATGGAAATAGGTACTGGCAATAAACCTCCTTCAACCTCAATACACAAAAAATTGCTTAAATCAATCTTTAAGAAATACACTTGGAAAAACAATTGTGGGTACCTTTGAATAGAGTATGCTTTAAAATTTAACACGTTCTTAAAGTTTGCAGTAATATTGCACTCAAATCTGATGACAACATACTTCTGCCATCCTCCAATATATCAATATGTCAGACTATAGTAACTCTTCTGTTAAATGGAAGAACTACCAAGATTTGCAATCAAAGTCAGTCTTCACACTACTTAAAGTGTGAAGTAATATTCCTAAAGCACTCAAAGTTTTCCTTAAGATTTTGCTCATGTGTCATTGCTCTGCTATGGTTGCATTCTGCCTTTTAAGATGTCCCAGCAGGCTTCGAGGGTAGCTCCTCTTAGAGGTGATGGCATTAACCCAAGCCATTATAGGTCTCTGACACAGATGGCTCTTCATTTCCTAATAAACAGTGAGAACTGATATGCTTCAGGATTAGTTTAAAACATTAAGTGAGGGCATCAGACACTCACTATTTTGCATTCACCAAATGACTAAACCTTTCTGTTGGTGGCATATATTTTAAAGATAAGAAGAACATGAATGCAGCGTTTACACTATACAATTATGTGCACAGATACGTAATGATAGTAACTATATCTAAATGTACATTTACTGCCAGCTATTAATATATACAGGTTTTTTCTTTAGTAATGTTAGGAAATCCAGGAAAATGTATTTGTTTGCTTGTAGTTATTTTAGTTTACTTGCAGTTATTTTAGGTTTATATATTGGGTTAATTGAATGGAATTCAATGTGTACTTACTTTGGGCTGACTTTTAGCTATTAGAGTTGTAGCCCTCTCAGGTCACAATTTATACTCATAGTAGAACATGCCCTTATCAATCACCATGGTTATGAATGTAACAACTCCACCAAGTGCACATAATTTAAGAAATAGATAGAAATTTCTTTCAGAATTTCCTTACATAGCCTCATTAGATTATGATCTTACTTCAAGTACCCCAAGCAGGTGCTTGGGAGCACCTGCTTTCTAGCTCTGGGTTGGTACTATGGGACCATGGAAGGTTTTAGGTCTCTCCAGCCCACCCATACAGAATGAACTGGGCGAAAGTAACCAACCATGTA